GTGTTCAAGGTCTCACAACTAGATCGGACTCATAATGATCTGCCTGTTTACAGCCTCCCAAGAGCTGGGATTACAGGAGTGCACCACCACGCCCCATCTCAACTGCTATATCAGTGCGCCCCGGGGGCAGGGCCAGCATAGCACACTCAGGGATTGAACCCCTGGCCCCTGCCCCTGCTTGCAGGCACTTTAATCCACTGGGCTATTTGGCCAGACTTATTTCTCTCATTTTCTTTCGTCTACATTTGACTATATGGTATTAATATAACCATATTTCTTCATCTTATTTTGATTAGTTTAATTAAATCACCTATTATTTTTAATGTTAAAGATTTTTATATTATGTATGACATTTTGTAAATTGGATTATACATCTCTAGTTCCCTAGTCCACTTTTTTCCCTTGATAGTTTATATCTATGACTACACTGACCTGAAATATTATACTACTAATACTTTACGTGGCAAGTTCTCCTGTTTTAGTCTTCTTCAGAAATACCCAGTCTCTATATAAATTCTACAATTAGCTTGTCAGTATCTATGAAAATCTATTGGAATTTTACCTGGTATGTACTGGATTTATGAACAAACTTGGGAAGAATTACAGCTTTTTATTATTGCTTTCTTTTTGTATGGGTCCTTTATGTGTTAAATATTAGTTTTCCTTATTTACATGTTATCTATGTTGGGTTGTTCACCTGGTCTTTATTTCTATATAGCAGTCTCAGTGTATATGTCCATTTATGGCTTGCTCTCCCCTACTGTTGTACTGCTTGAATCTTGACATTATGTTTTTCCTTTGCCCCTGCCTGCATACATTATCTCCACCATTCTTTTACCCTCTTCACTTTGCTAAACATTTGCCATCTCTTAAACTTGAACCTTTCTAATGTCTTTTTGCATCTGCCAGCTTCCCTCCTAATTCTTCTGTCTGATAATTCTTACTGTTTTTTAGAAATAAGTTCACATAAGCACCTTTTTTGAGGAGCCCACAGTTCTCTTCCTATCTTCCATCTGGGCCAAGTTAGCTATACCAGCTATATTGTTTGAGTGATATGAGACTTCTCTTTGAACATACTAATTTCACACAGTGTAATCCTTCCTCCCCTTCATTTGGGAGAGACACAGATAACCTTTTCAGGTCCTCTCTTCCTTTCCCCACCTTTTCCTCCAGGGTTTCCTTTGGAAGATGTCAAGAGCCCACAGATTAGAAATTGCAAACATTGTTTTAAGAGATGTACAAAATGCAATCCAGGCGTGGTGTTGCACACATGTAATCTCAGCACTTGAGAGGCTAAGGCAGGAGGATCACCAAGGATTTGAGGCCAGCCGTAGCTACATAGTCAGTTCACTGAACTATATAGCAAGGCCCTGTCTCAAACAAAAGAAAACAAAACATACAATTTAATAGGCATCAAAAACACTATATTTTCATCTTCCTGTTTCTACTAAAGTGGTGATTTAATTTTTTCTGTTCATGTCACTAAAAGATGATTTTTTACATTGATTTTCCTTTAGGTCGGAAAGCAAAACTTGATACAAGAGAGCCCACCGATTCTCAGCTGGCCCTCTCCAAGGAATTCTCTTACCAAGAACAACTTATACAGAGATCCTCGAGAGATTTCAGGTTGGGGCAAGTTATGCATGAGGAGAGACTATTAGAAATGCAAGAAGGGAACTTGAGGCCAGGAACAAACCTCTCCAAGAAGACATGCTCTGGAAAGCTGAGCCATAAACATGATAATTTGAAGACAGGTGATAACCTATGTTTAAGAGTTTTACAGGAACAAGTCATTGTGCAAGATGTTATCCATGAACAGGACTCCAAAAAGCCTAGAAAAGGACATGTGATTAAAGCAAGGAACAAGTTCTATAAATGCAAAGAATGTGGAAAAGGCTTTAGCAAGAATTGGGCCCTTACTCAGCATCAACAAATTCATACTGGCATGAAGCCCTATGAATGTAATGAATGTGGGAAAGCCTTCAAACGCAGGTCTCATCTCATAGAGCACCAGCATATACACAGTCGAGAAAAGCCATTTTTGTGCAAAGAATGTGGGAAAGCGTTTTACTATAGCTCTTCATTTGCTCAACACATGAGAATTCACACTGGAAAAAAATTATACGAGTGCACTGATTGTGGAAAGGCTTTTACTCATCGCTCCACTTTTGTTCACCATAATATGACTCACACTGGAGAAAAACCCTTTATATGCAAAGAATGTGGAAAAGCCTTTTGTCTCAATTCCTCCTTCACTCAACATATGAGGATTCACACTGGGGAAAAGCCCTATGAATGCAGTGAATGTGCAAGGGCATTTGCTCATCGCTCTACTTTCATTAGGCATAAGAGAACCCATAATGGAGAAAAACCCTTTGAGTGCAAAGAGTGTGGGAAGGCCTTTTGTGACAGTTCTTCCTTAATTCGGCATATGAGGATTCACACTGGTGAGAAGCCCTATGAATGCAATGAATGTGGAAAGGCCTTTACACAGCACTCTGCTTTTATCCGACATAATAGGACCCACAGTGGAATAAAACCTTTAAAGTGTAAAGAATGTGAAAAAGCCTTTTATTATAGTTCTTCCTTCATTCGACACATGAGAAGTCACGCTGGAGAAAAGCCCTATGTTTGCAAAGAATGTGGAAAAGCCTTTACCCAACCTTCAAATTTTGTTCGGCATTATAGAATCCACACTGGAGAAAAACCCTTTGAGTGCAAAGAATGTGGGAAGGCCTTTTGTGACAATTTTGCCTTAACTCAGCACATGAGAACACACACTGGTGAGAAACCTTTTGAATGCAATGAATGTGGAAAGACCTTCAGACACAGTTCATCCTTCACTCTTCATCGCAAGATTCATAGTAGAGTTTAAAAGGTATTGAAAGACCAGCTGGGTATGGTAACACATGGTTATAATCTCAGCACTCAGGAAGCTGAGGCAGGAGGATCACTGCAAATTCAAAGTCCATCTCAGCTACAAAGTGATTTCAAGGCCAGCCTCTATTACAAGGCAAGACCCTATCTCAAATTAAATAAATAATTAAAAGCTATAGGAAGGACTTTTACAACAGTGTTGTCAGTTTGAATACATGTTGGTGAAATACCTTTTCTTTTGAATGTAACAATTAAGGAAAATATTTTGAGCAGAGAAAAAAACTGTCTAAAAATTCTTATTGGGCCTGGGAGATAGCTCAATGGCATAAACACCTACCTGGCAAGCACAAGGTCCTGAGTTTGATCCCCAGTACTGCAAAAAATTTTTGAAATAAAAATAAAAATTCTCAATGAAGAGAAATAATAATTATCATTCCTGTGAAAACTTTCTATGGCAGGTTATTCCTTGTCATCCAAAGAAGTATATTAAAAGTTGTTCCAGCCTGAGCCTTATGCCACATCTAAGAATTGTTCAGAGAAGAGACACAGTAGTTATGCAATTAGGTAAAATGTTAGCAGTAGTTTTTTTTACACTATAGATCTAACTTGGGTATTTTAAAGAAACAAAGGGAAGTGGAGGATAAAGTGTAAATGAGAAAAAGAAATGTATGCACAAGTTCTAACTTCTCTGTCAAGCCAGGGTGACAGGTGAAAGAGTAAAAAGAGCCCATCCCCTTTATGTGTTTTTTACATATCCAGAGCCTGGAGAATTGATGCTTACAGACAGCTTTGCCAACATTTATTAAAAGCATTTAGCACAGGGTCTACAGAGTCTCAATACACAGATCACACTCGTAGTGATCCTCCTGTTTATAAACAAATAAAATCACAATGACTATGAAAAGGAGATGTTTAAAAAATTATATTTATGTCTTTGGACAATTAAATGCTAATATCTTGTACTCTGAGTAACTAAAGATAACAATATGCAATGTATTAACTTTTTACCCTCCTATCATTGTTTTGAAATTTTGGTTTTTTTTTTTTTTACTTTAAAATAAAAAATTAAAAAAAATTTAGAAACAATTATATATGCCCTTTTAAATGTTTTTTCTATTTAAAGATGCTAATTAATATATATTTCTTAAAAATTTATAATTACTGTTCTTTATAATAAATTATTTTAACTATAATATTTTGTTGTAACATACTCTAGTATATTATTATACTGTGTTTTTTGTTTGTTTTTGTTGTTTTTTGTTTGTTTGTTTTCTCTTGAAACAGGGTCTTGTTATGTAGCCCAGGCTTGCATCAAACTCATGGCATTCCTCCTGCTTCAACCTCTCAAGTGCCGGAATTACAAGCATGTGCCATGATGCCCAGCTAACTGATATATTCACATATGCACAGTATACATATACAGTATTCATATCCAGTAAATGTTGTGTAGTACTGACACTGGAAATAGTACTGTGGACACTATATGGTTAAGTATATCCAGGTAGATAGTACTAAAAACATTACAGAATAACTAGAATTTGTTATTAAAATTCTACTTTTGTTGGAGCTGTAGGGTTTGTGATAGAACAGTCTTCTGTGGTTAAGCCTCATGACTTTGCATTGCCCCAAGAAGAGAGAGCCTGATGGAACTTATTCTGCAGAAGAGAAAAACACTTACGAGAGTGACATGTTAATATCTGGTAGTACTCTCAAGTGTTTGACTGTCACTACTTAGCAGTATCACCAACTTAAGTTATGTCTGTTGGCTTTTCACCTTAAATGTTAAGCACCCCAGCATAAAAGGAATGGAGTCAAGCATAGGGTATAAATTTGAAGATGTATTCAACAATTGGTCACATTCTTACATGTCACTGAAACATTTTCCCAGGCAGAATTCCATTCTGATAATTTAGGTACAGTAAGGGACAATAATTATCATCAGGTTGATTTGTCACTGTCATCATCATCAGTAACTTCCATGCCTTGTTTTACATTTCATAGGTTTCACTGGTGCTTTCTAGTGTTTTGTTTGCCAAAATATCCTCTATGTCTTCAAAACCTTGTCAAAACTTGTCGTATTATAATCACTGATTAATACTGTTCTTTATCCTTTGTAGTTCAAAATTCTTCATGTAGGCCAAGAAAATATTTTTCCAGTAGGCACTGACAGTAATATTTTATACTATCCCAGGTGTTGCCAGCACATTATATAGTAACTGACTTCCATTAGTCTGACATGATGTTGTCTTGTTACTGCTGAAAGCCTTGCAAGCCTTGCTGGAAAACTCATGTAGGAAGGTTCCTCATGGTGAAACATCCTGACAATTTTTTTTTTTCTGGAACCAGGGATTGAACTCAGACACTTGCGCTTGCCAAGGAAGCACTTATTCTACTGAGCCATCTCCCCGGCCCCCATCCTGACAAATTTTAAATGAGCCTTGATTGAGAGGTTGGTCGACATATAGGACAATGGGGCATAAAAAGAACTTCTAGGTTGGGGTGGAAATTTTCAAGTTCTTTATGGCAATTGACTATGCCATTATCAAAGTTAATAAAGCCTTGAAGGCAAGATTTTCACTTCGGAGATAGCAATTAACTTGAGTATATTTGTGAAACCAATCCTAGAATATTTCTGAGGTCACTCATGCTCTTGTTTTCTACTTACAATGAACTGGGGTATTGTTCTAGTTTTCCCCCTTTTAAGTTCCCATGGGTTGGGGGTTTTATACACATCATTGGAAGTCATTAAATTCAACATTGATACTGACAAATAATAGCAACTGGAGTTGAGGACTGTGTTGAGAACTGGAGGCCATTTGTTTTACATCATTTCTTTTGCTAGTAGCCTTTTTTTTGACATCAGTTATTTTTATTTTAAAATAAAAGAAATAAAAACAATGGTACAAAATCTCAAAACAAGATCTTAGGAGAGTAATAATGGTTAGTACACTGTGTATTGTTACTGCCAAAGTAGTTTCTCATATTACAAGATATAGGCAAGAAATAATAAGCAAATAACATAGGTACAAACTTCTTTTTTTTTTAAAGTCAACAGAAAATGGAAATATACTTTTTAAAGTTTCTAATACTAGAAGATATCATACAATGTCTTTTAAATACATTTTAAGTCAATGATACAGTATAGATTTTAGAACAAAAATTAAGATTAAGCAATATTCAGAAAATTAAATGTTTCAAACAATTGAACTAAGAAAAAGTTTTCATGATAGCAAAGTACTAAGAATAAAACAAGATAAATACTGGAATGGCAAGAAAATGACCAGCACTTGTAACCATTTGAGGATAGGATATCACACAAAGTTCTAGTGTGTTGTGGACATGCATAATGACCGTGACAGTTACTGGTGGCTAGGCGTCACTTGTGGAACTGAGCTACAGCTATTTCTTTGAAATCCACCCTGTAGACTCAAGTGGAATCATGACCCATAGGGTGGAAGAGAAGTCCATTTGTAGAGTGTGCTGATGAAAATATTCTGCTGCTGAACACAAAAGAATAACTGAAAGACTGCTAGTAGCCTTATTACCTAAGCCAGTCTCATCAGAATAACTACTTTTCCGCATAAGCTTTTTCCTTTATAGTTACTAAATTTTCTATAGGTTTCTCATCTGCAGAATTTGACTTACCTGCAAGCTTAACATCTTTTATGCTGTGTCTTTTTGAAATGTTTGAGTCAACAAGTGCTAGCCAAGCAGGATTTAATACTTTCTTGACATGGGTGTTATAACAATAAATGTTTACAGCTTCTATGCTCCCTATAATGTTGTCCCCTTTGCTTTTTAAAAGAAAAAATCAGTGATCTGAATCCACAAATTTTATCTACCTTTCTATTTTCATATTCATGGGGCTTGCCAGTTAGCTTGGTTGTTTAAAGCGCTTGCTTGGGCAAAGTCAGTCAGGTGCAGGGGACCGAGGTTTGATTCCCAGCTCCACATGCCACACCAGACCTGCCCTTAAGGCAGCTTGAGCCAGAAAAAATAAATAAATAGATAAATCCTATTTTCCTATTCATCATGTACTATAGATGTTACTTTCAACACTTTCTAGAGCAGCATCATGTACAGTCAGATGAATTTTCTCTTCCTATTTTTCATTATACTGTATTGTTGATTTGTAAACATGAACCCAGCAAATAGTAGTGCAACTCATAACTGAATGGAAATCATTCAGTATTCTGACTTTATGAAGCTATTCTAACACATACTTTTTGTCTTAAGCAGATAATATGCATGCTTGACAACTCAAATTTTTCACCATTCAACACATTTGCAAGTTACTGTCAAAGTGCTACAAATACTGATGTCAGAATTACAAATAAGTTTTAGACTATAAGATCACAATTTACAAAAATTGATAGAATAGCATGTTTAATTTTCTATTAACTGGTGAAGTTGTTGCCTCTTGAAGACCTTATCCTCCCTTACGACAGCTGTCTTTTGCTGTAGCTGTGGCTATCTGTGTAGTTGAGTCTGCTGATTAAGAGCATAGACTCCGATGATGGATTGGGATTTATGCTCACATAACCAGCTGGTGATCCTGGTTATGTCATTTCTCTCTGGATCTTAAGGGTTTTTGTCTGTAGGAGTAGAAAAGTGGACCCTAAAACATGGAGAAATGAACTTGTAGTCAGCTAGGTGATATGTAGACCTTGAAGCACGCAAGAGTTAAGAGAGAATTACGTTTCCAAGGCCCCAAGGCTGGCAAGGGCTTGCTCTGTTGGAGGAAACATGTCTAGGACAGTGTGGCTTCACAGGGAAAATAGCACTTAATGGAGTGGACTAGCTGGGTCAGATATACAGACACTGGAAATTTGTTATTTACTTATTTATTATATTTTAGGGAAAGGTCTATAGGGTGTTCAGGGTCTCACTACTAGATCGGACTCATAGTGATCTGCCTGTTTACAGCTCCCAAGAGCTGGAATTATAGGCACGCACGTGTCTCACCACACCCAGTCTCAATTGGCGGGGCCAGCACTGCAGGCCCGGGCACCAAACCTCTGGCCCCTGCCCCTGCTTGCAGGTGCTTTAATCTGCTGAGCTATTTGGCTGGCCCTAGTACTG